CAGTAAGGCTTTTTTTAAAAAAATATTTTCATTGGGGCATTGGGGGGATGAGAGCAGCATTGGGGAATTGGGGGAAGGGGAACAGACAAGTTGCTGTCCTTTTCTTCAGTCTAGTGGTGGAGGACGTTTCTTCACTGGCCCAAGTTGGCACCATCATTGCGCTCTTCCCGGCTGAGGCAGATCAGTCGCCGGCTTCTGGATGGCCGTTCACTGCAGCCTACGCCGTCGCCGGCGACTCACAGCAACCCAGCTCCAGGTTGAGCTGTTGTTCAGCATCTTAGCTGTGGAGGGCAGTGTCACTGGCCTTCATCTGTGGGATCCAAACCAGGGTCCTCTGGTGTCCCAAAGGAAGGCTTTTTTTATACTTCATGATTAAATCAACTTTAATAATCAAGTATTGAAATTTTAGTCAGATTCTGGAAAAGGGAGGTGTTTGAGGGACAGAATCCAACAGCACTTTGCTGAGCACATATCCAAGAATATATCTGTTCTTTACAATCTGAACTATGAGGGAGAATAACTAAAATGAATTAACAAATTTTACTTGGAGAGAAGACGATGGTTATTACACCTTTACCAAGCATGGTGCTATTCACATACAACATTTCACTGAGTCTTCACAAAACCAGATATTAGAGTCCTATCATTCCCTTTTCATGGGAGGGTGATATATAGATACCTTGAAATGTAAGTACATTGCCCAGCTGCCCTGGCACACACATCTTCTAACAACGAATCACGTGCTTCTCTCACTACCACAAGGCCTCCCAGGTAAATTCCCTCCCACTCTGCGATGGATAATTCATCTTCTAGCAACAAAAGTATTGGGATTGGGTTAAGATTGCCAGATTTAGCAAATAAAAATACAGGGCACCCTGTCTATGTAGGCCCCAAATATTGTACGGGACACGCTTATACTAAAAAATTATTTGTTTATTTGAAATTCACATTTAACTGATGTCCTGTATTTTATCTGGCAACCCTAGGTGCAGAGAGTATGGGCATTTAGTGAAAGTAAGAAACCTGAAAGAAAAACCAGGTAGGAAATTAGAACCCAACAATGAGTCTAGGGTCCCATGAACAGTGGTAAAATACATGTAACATAAAATATACCTTTATAATAAATTTTAAGTATACCATTTAGTGGCACCAAGTACATTCACAATGTTATTCAGCTATCACCACTATCTCCAAAGCTTTTTTCATCTTTCCAAATTGAAACTGTACCCATTAAATAATAACTCGTCATTCCCACCTCCCCTCAAACCCTGCAACCACCATTCTACTTTCTGCATTTAAGAGTTTGACTACTCTGGGTATCTCACATAAATGGAATTATACAGTATTTTTCCTTTTGTGTCTGGCTTATTTCAGTTAGCCTAGTGTTTTCAAGGTTCATGCATGTTGTGGCATATGTCAGAATTTTGTTCTTTTTTCAGGCTGAATAATATTCCATGGTATGTATATACCATGTTTTTGTTTATTCATTTATCCATCAAGGTATATTTGGGTGGCTTCTATCTTTTGGCTATTGTGAATAATGCTGCTATGAACATGGGTTGGGCTCATAAACTTTACATGACACTGTATTAAGCTCTGTACAGAGAAAACACAGAGGCAGCTCTCTAGGAGTTTTTATTTTAAACTAACATCACATCTAGCCAGCAAATATGCCATAACAGCCAACACCTAATTCTTTCATTTTTTGTTTACATTTATTGAGATCCTACTATGCATAGTAAAGAATTTGGCCTTGACCAGAAAGGAGGCCTGGCTTTGCCTTTGGGGGTAATTTCTGGGCCTGTGGAAAGCACTGGATAGCCTAATGATGTGATTTATGGTGGGGGCTGGCCACGTTCACGTAGTCCTAGGGTGGTGGATTAGGGTGGTGATGGCCACACACATCTAAGTCTTAGGATAAACCTGACCAAGCCAGAAAGATTAACAATATGGCTTAGGGTCAGGATATAGCAATTGACCTAGAAACTGAAATTAACTATATGGACAATCAATCAATCAATCAAGCCTATGTAATGGTGCTCCAATAAAAACTCTGAATACCAAGGCTTAGGCAAGTTTCCCTGGTTAGCAATACTCAATGCCTATTGCCACACATTGATGGGAGGAAACAGAAGCCCTGTACTTGGTCCTTCTCCTGGACTCTGCCCTATGCACTTCTTCCCTTGGTTAATTGTAATCTGTATCATTTCCCTGCAATAAATTGTAAGTATAATAGCTTTCAGTGAGGTCTGTGCTTTCTTCTAGTGAATTATCAAGGTTTTGGGAACCCCTTGAACATGCAGTTGATGTCAGAAGTGAGGGCAGTCTTGGGGACTGTACCCCCTAACTCCTCACAACTAGGCATTGTGTTAGGTACTGAGTGTATGCTGTTAAATACAACATACCTCCCTCAAAACAACAAGGGAAGGGAGAAGTCCGATTGCCAAGTGCTGAGGACAGAATGTTGGCAGGTACTGAGGCATGAAATAGCATGGTGCATTTCAGAAATAGCAAGGGCTTCGGCATAGCTGGTCTTATTTTAGGCTTCTCAGGTTTCTCTGTCTCAGTGAATGACATCTCCATCCATCCAGTTGGTAAAGCCAGAAATTGAGAAATCATCCTTGACTTCTCTTTCTTTTCCTTAGCTTCATGATCTATCCATAGTCAAATCTCATTAAATTTGCCTTCTATATCTCACAAATGTATCTTTATCTCCCCCACATCTCCTTCTCCACCACCACCGCCCTGGTCCATGCAACCATCAGACTCCACCTGGATCGCTGCAATAGCTGTAAAGCTAGTAGACAGATTCACCCCTTCCCTGGCAATCCATTTTCCACACTGTAGCCAGAGTGATCTTTTAAAATACCAATCTGATGTTGATGTCACTGTCTTCTCCCCACAAACCCTTAATATTTTTCTGTCCTCCTCTCCCCAATATGGCTTCCTTTCTATCGCCCCACTTATTCTTCCCTTCAGCACTTCAGCCTTGGTACCACACCCTACTTGTTCATGGCTCCTAAATTTGGTCTTCTATCCAAGCCTCTCATCTTTCAAGTCATCTTACTCTTTGCCACTCATCAAAAATCCCATTTCCTAAAATTTGTATCTCGGACAGATGTTAAGAGAAAGCATTTTGCTTAGTTGGCTAAAGAAGTCCATCAGAAAGTACAAATAGTTTGTAGACATTAATTCACTAATTAACACGCATTGTTAATACATTAGTGCATGTTATTTTGTTCAAGCACATCTCTGGGTGTGTGTGTGTGTGTGTGTATGTGTGTGTGTGTGTGTGTGTGCACGTACATTTGCACAGGGATACTTTCCAAGATTTGTATCCACCCTGAGAGGCTACACAGCATGGTGATTAGTAGGGCAGCCTCTGGAATTTGTCGGCTGCATGTCATATCCAGATTTAGTCTCATATGCAAGTTACATTGTATTAGTGTCTTTCCTAGTATTATTGTCTTCATCTCTACAATAGGCCTAATAAGGTTGTTGTAGGGTGAAATGAAGTGATTCATGTAATGTACTTCAAAGAGTTCTTGGTGCACAATAAGTTGCCCAGTAAATGTTAACTATTATGACAGTCGATAGTCAAGGCAGTCATTTCCCCATCCCACCTGGCTTTAAGTCTCAGAAAAGGTGGGACACAATTTGATACTACTTCCTTAAAAGCTTTCTACTGATGAGAAAACATCTTGGTCTTTTTGTTTTGTTTTATCCATGACCAGAGAGCAAAGTTCCAAGAACTCAGCATCAAAATATAAGCTAATTTGAAGGTTTGTGCTATGGACTTGTGTCCCCCAAAATTAGTATGTTGAGGCCCTAACCTCCAATGTGATATTCACCCAATGCCTCAGTGGCTGTCATTGGTCACAGGGAGGCCCTGGTGGGGCTGCAGAGATGAGTTAATTCAAACAAGAGCTCCTAGGAAGCCTGCAAAGATTTCCTTTCTTAAGTTATCTTCAAGTGCATGTGAGAAAACATTGGTAGCAGCATTGACCTTTTATTTGCGCTCTAACTTAGAGATGCAAAGAAACTGTGGCTTTTTTGTTTTCTATAATGAAGCTAAACTTCCTCCTGAGTTCCCCCTGCCCCTGGCATGATGCCTACATTTGCCAACCAACAGCATCACTGTCTCTTCCACCTAAACGGTCTCTTTTACATCATCTGGCTTATTTAAGGTTCGTCTTTCAGGTTTCTTCCCTCTCTCCCTGCTGCTTCTCAAGATGGCCTTGAGCCTGTATGTGCAAGTTTGTGTGCTGTCCTGTGCGCTAAGTGTGATCCTAGGTGGGTGGCTACTGTGTTGCTCCTGGACCTGCATCACCTTTGGATGCATAGACCAGGTAATTTGGTCCTATTCCAGGGCTCCTCTAATCTGTCAGTTCTTTCAGTGGCTCCTGTTTTTTCACTGAAACATGTGGAAACTATGGGTCCTCTAGACCAGGGAGGGGCACAAAGCCAGTTTTTGTAAATAAAGTTTTATTGAAACATGGCCATGCCTGTTCATTTACACATGAACTATGGCTGCTTTCAGGCTACCATGATAGCACTGAGTAGTTGAGGTGGAGACTGTACCCAGTGCCGAAACTACTTGCTATCTGGCTCTTTAGAGAAAAAGTTGGTGACCACTTCTCTAAATCAGCACTGTCCAACAGAACTTACTGCAATGACAGGAATGTTAGAGCTGTGCTTTTCAATATAGTAGCCACCAGTTACATATAGTTTATTGAGCACTTGAAATGTGGCTAGGGTGACCAAGAAATGAACTTTTACATTTTATTTAATTTTGATCACTTTGAATTTTAATTTAAATAGCTTTATGTGTCTAGTGGCTCCCATATTGGACAGTGCAGCTGTAGACACCCTGAAAAGGCCTTGGGGAGCCAGGATTGCACCCTCGGGATCTTTTCTGGCCACTTTCCTCAGCTTCTGCGTTATTGCTTCTGAGACAAACATTCACATTTAAAGTTTTTCACCAAGAGTATGCAGCTTACCTCAGGCAGTGAAGAGGAACATGCTATTAGCCTCTGATATTCCAGATTCTTCCATAGCTATCAGCTGTGTTGTATTTCCCAGCATCACCCACTCACGCCCCAGGTTTTGACCCAGGAATAGGCTGCAAAGAGGAAACTCTGTAACATTCTTCTTCTTCCATAGTCCACTGGGTCTGGAAGGGGAGGTGTTCCTGCTTCTCCTGTGTGACTGAAACTTCTCTTACAAGATGATATATTCTCATCCTCCCTGAGATCACATCTGTTCTTTTCCCTTCCCAGAACCAGGAGATGGATAAGGTTCAGAGACGGAAACTGGCTTACCTCTAAGGGAGGGTCATCACACCGACATTCCAAAATACTGCCCTTGATAGGACTACCACATTAACTTGATTTATATAAGGTTAGAAGCTTGACCCTGCTCCGATTCAACCCCTATTTGTTCAGAACCTAATGTTTCACAAGCCTTCAATCCATTGCTGGAAAGAACCCAAACTCCTTTTCTTCCTTTTCTTTTCTTCTCCCCCGCCCTCTAGCTGACAAACACAGTTTCACAATCATCCCTTTGCATATGCTTCAGCACTTTTAGAGGAAATATTTGCAATATAAGCATAGTCTTTTCTTGCATAATTTCCATTTTTCTGAGTGATTACCCTTTCTGGAAGGCCTTTTCTGATCACTTCCTTAGAGCCACATCCTCTCTGGCCCGTGGCAGCACCTCCTATCTTCTCCCCCCGCTTCACTCTTTCTATAGCATTTATCACTCGTCAAGCTCCATGACTACCCGATCAGCTAATGTCCTGCCTCCCCCTTAGAACACAGGCCATATGAGAGCAAGAACTCTGGCTCACTGCTGTATTCTTAGTACACAGAACAGGCCTGACAGAAGGTAGGTACTCAAATATTTCTGAATGAATTAGAACATTGAGATTATACCTCATAGTATAACTCTGATGTATCAAAACAAACAAAACTCTTTCCCTACCAGGGATAGACAAATCCAAAGGAGATAAAGGCTATAGAGCATCCTTCTTCACCGCCTTGGTGGGGATACTGAGGGACAAATGTAAAGGAATATGGACTTCTGCCTGCATCATGATGAAGAAACCAAAACTTTGAGACATAAAATGACGACCGATTGCTGGAAGAGAAGATACATAAACCCACATGCCCTATTTCCCACATACCAAGTTTTCATCCTATCCATTCTTGATTTGGTTATAAATACAACCCAGATTAATTGGGTTGCTGAGATTCCTTAAGTTTTTGTTTGGAATTAACTAGAATTTTTTAAAATTCGTGTTTCACTTTAGCATCTTTAAGCTGCAATGTATCTCAAATTAGGCTTCTTTCTTAAAAAGTAAATGGGTACTAGCAAACAAAATTTCTGAAGATGTATTTTGAATGAAATCATGTATCTAAAAGCACATCCTAAACCCTAAGTATTCTGCATTAGGAAGGCATTACCACTATCATCATTATCAGCAATCCTGAGAAAACTCTGAAATAAGTTTTCTTCTCACCTTGCCAAGAGTGTAAAATATTTAAGATTTTGGAAATCATCTAACACTTAAAAATTTAATGAAAATAGCGTACATTTCCCATACTGATGAAGTAATAGGAATCTCTGTTACCTCATCATATGGGAAGTAATAGCTTTGAAAATACCAGGGAAGGGGTAAAATGGGAATCAGTGGGGTTGTTTTGTAGCAGTAATTACAGACTGTTAAGTGAGGATTTGGTTGTGAGAGATTTCGGATGGGATTTTACATGAGGGCATACTTACTCTCCAGGTAGTTATCCCAGGGAGCAACAAGTCTTGATAAGCTCCTGCTTATTTTCTTGCCACAGAGAATTACCTGAATACATTTCTTCCAACCATCTCCTGATTTTTACATAAATCAGCAAAGTCTATGCAATACAATCAGCTCAGATCCAGTGCAAATGTCTGAGACAAATCAATATTCAAGACAGGTTTATTTATGACCTCCAATCTGTATTTTGTTCGAATGGGACATAGATGGTAGAAGTAGCTAGGTTAAGGATGTCATTTTACTTCCCCAAGCCGCCGTTTTCTCATCTGTCAAATGTAGCAGATAGATGGTCGAAGATCACAAACTCAAATGATCCCAGGGACCTGGAATTTATTTGTGTGAAGCCTGCTCTTCGGGGTTAAGCAAATAGGAGGACTGTGGTCACCCAGAGCATGCATGACCTTTCTTCAAACATTCCCACTCAAAAATTTTAAACTCTGCTGTCCAGAGGGCCTGGGTTTGCTGTCTCTGCAAAGAATGATTGCTAAGGTACAAGAAGTCATATTCTACAAAGCTGTATCTTTTCTTTTAGGAAAGAGCTTTTGATGTCAATCTGTGTAAGCGATCGCCTCTCAGCTCCAAATTCACCCTTTCTGCTTGCTCTGTGAAAATGGAGCTGAGCCCTTCAGAGAGTTTTCCTATCTGCCTAGCACAGCGTTAAACTGCATCAGTAGGTGGTGGTGGACGGACATTGCTGGAGGAACGGGTTTGCTTCCTGATACCAATGAGTTCTCTTGGTGGCTTCGGCAGTGTGGGCAGCTTCTCTGGCTCCTGTAGGGCCGTGACCCCTCAAGCATTTGGCTCCTGCACTGCATATACTTTCTCTAGTGCCAGCTACTGCAGTACAGTGACTCCTTCAGTGCCAGGTCTGCATGTGGCTGACTTCTCAAGCATCTCTCTATGGCAGCGCACACAATGTCTCCAGCGCCTGGCTCCCGCAGTGCACTGTGGCCAGCCTTTGGGCACTCTTGTAGCAGAATACCTCTGGCAAGACACCTCCCTGTGAACAGCTTTTCCTCCCAGAGGGAGGCTTTCCAGCAAGTTCCACTGGTGTGGCACCATAGTGATTTCTTCGACATTATGTGAACCACATCTATGCCCTCTAGCAAGGTCTGGTTCTCAGCCTTGGGTGGCAGGACTCTTTCCTGGGTGCTCTAGCTCAGCCCTAAGGATGGAGGTTCATCCTATCTGCTCTTTTACATTCTTTAGAGTTCTCTTCACTTCTTACTAGCTAATCCCATGTTAAGAATAGTTAACAATGCTTTATATTAAACGGTCACTTGTTCAAATTACTCTGTGATTTCTGTCTCATGAATGGACCCAAACTGAACTATCCTGGAGCTCTCAGCAGCTCTCCCATTAATGTTGGCGTCATTCATACAGGATATCCCTGCCCATTCCAGATAATGCATCTCTACCTGTCCCCCACTAGAAATCAGACATGCCTTATAATATATGCTCAAGTCTCTTGACTTGAGTGAGTGAAGAATCTAACCCATTTAATAGATGAGGGACCTGAGAACAAGAAAAGTTACTTGATTTCCTTATGCTCACACAGCCAGTTAATTATGGAACTGGGACTAGAGCCCTAGTATCCTGACTCTCAACCTGATGCCTCTTTCTGCCTGCCACACTATTATTCACCAAAAACAAAAATTAGAAAAATCGTTCCTAGACATGCTTCTCAGGCAGAGTGAGCAAGGGGTGAAAAAGAATGTGGAATTTAGGATCCGAGGGACATGGGCTATTCACCACCTGAGTATCCTGGTGCAAATGGACTAACGTTATTGTCAAATAGAAATTTCTACATTATCAGGTTGTTGTGAAGAAGAAATAAGATCACATACATGAAGTACCTATTATCGTTACATACATTTAAGGGAACCAGACAAATAAAAAGGCAGCTAAATCATGCTGAATCCATTCCATTTCACTCAGTCATTTCCCCACTTGCACATTTCTCCCACATATTCTGTAGTTTATTTTTACGATTATAAAAGCTCATGATGTTATTGACACTGACAAGTTACATGATTTTACGCTAAGATAAAATTAGAGATACTATATGTCTTCAGGAAAGAGGACACTTTTTGGTACAGGTACGTGTTTATAAGGCTTCATTCCTTCTCCTCTCCCCTCCGCCCCCAGCTTTATTGAGGTATAATTGACAAATAAAAATTGTAGCTATTTAAGGTGTACAACTTGATGTTTTGAGATACATATGAAAAAAAATCACCATAATCAAGCTAATTAACATATCCATCACCTCACATAATTACTATTTTATTTCTTTCTGTCTTTTTGCGTGTGTATGTTTGGGGATAACACTTAAGGTTTACCCTCTTAGCAAATTTCAGAATTGTTAACTATAGTTACATCGCTGAACATTTGCTCTCCAGAATATATTCATCTTGTATAAATGAAACTTTGTACCTCTTGACAAACATCTCCCCCTTTCTATCCCCCTTTCCTGGTAACCACCATTCTACTCTCTGCGTCTATGAATTTAGCTTTTTTAGATTCTACATATAAGTGAGATCTTGTGGTGTCTGTCTTTCTGTGCCTGGCTTAATTCACTTAGCATAATTTCCTTCAGTTTCATCCATGCTGTTGCAAGTGGCAGGATTTCCTTCGTTTTTTAAGGCTGAATAATATTCCAGTGTATGCATATGCCTTTATTCATTCATCTGTCACCAGAGATTTAGGTTGTTTCCATATCTTGGCTCTTGTGAATAAATGTTGCCATGAACATGGGAGTGCAGATATCTCTTCCAAATCCTGATTTTATTTCCTTTGAATATATATCCAGAATCCATGTATATTGTAAGAAAAAGAACTGAAAAAAAAGCTTTTCCAATAGTTTCTCCCCTACCTGGCACTGTGTGTTCTCTCCAATGATGAGTGTGCATCTTGCAGGAAAAGGCCAAATGAGTTAGAATGTGTCAGAGTCATTGAGAGAAGGGTGAGCTACATGCTGCCTGATTCATTGTTCCTTCACATAATCAGTGTGGATAAATGGAAAGCTAACTGCACTCAGTGAAATGTATCATGGGAATCACTATCCTGTCTGCCAGGCACTATTTGCTCAGAGACATACAGGGTGTTCAGTGTAATCACCTTCTGTGTTTGAAGTCTGACTCTCTGGAGCAGAGCCTTGCTTAGATACTATATAGCCACATAAACAGGCCTGGCCTTAGCTTGGCAGCTCTCCTGGAATCTCCTTTCTTATTTGACTAAGATTTGGATTTCATTTCACATTTCTTTGTTTGCATGTTCCATAATGTTTTTTTAAAAGGGTATGTTAAATAGTAAGATAATAAATGGTATTAAGATAATAATTGTCATCCTTTATTATGTGCTTATAAACAAGGTATTTAATACATATTTTTTCATTTTATCTTCCTAACACCCCTGCATGGTAATTACTATTATTTCCCCTTTACTACGGAAAAAAAAAAGCAGAGTTTGGGAAGATGATGAGCTTGCCCAGTGATATATGTGTTCATTTGGCTTAAAAAGAATTAGCTTTTCAGTACACCACATTGCCTTTGTAGGTGTAATTTGTTAGTCTACCATTTTGAAACAAAACAGCATCCATATCTGTGATAGAATTGTGCTTACTGTTTC